TGTGTGTGTGTGTGTGTGTGTGTGTGTGTGTGTGTGTGTGTGTGTGTTCTCCTTCCTTAACACTGGTTTGTGTACGCGAGTCGGCACCAGAGAACGGCTCTCTGAGAAGAGACCAGGACAAAGCTGTGAGGAAATACCATGGCCTTCTGTCCAAACAGGAGCAGCTGCTCAGAGGTGGGCTGGCCCTTTAACACTCAACCATTGTGCTGGTGCAAGAGCTGGTGTTTTTCTTTGCTGCCCCGTGAATGCAGTGTTGGTGCAAAATTGTGAAATCCAAATAAAAGCTTGGTTGGCTGTTTATTTTTCCGTTAAAAATTCCATAATAACCATTCAGCACATTGTAATTCAAGTGGTACACCGGGGTCGGCAGTTAACAAAAAAGACAAAATACAGCCATTATCCTGCAGCTCCGAGCACACGTCTTTGTAAGCGCTTCAAACAGTAACCCGTAGTCACTAATGGCAAACATCCTCCCGATCATGATCGTGATCCCGCTGCTAGTTCTATGAGAATCACAATGATATTCTCTTTGCAAACGTGTGGGCCTTTAAAGATCCTTTAAAGATCAGAGAAGCATTTCAGAGACGGAGAGAAAGTGTTGCTAATAGTTTAGCCTCTAATCCTTTGGCTACGGTTAGCAAAAGGCTAAACTATTGGCAACATTTTCTCTCCATTTCTGGAAGACACTGATTTTCCGACTCTCTTTTTGATAAGTTCCTTGTTTGGGTTGCTCTGCAGTGGGCGGTTGTTGCTATTGCTGGAATAGCAACTCTCTCCCTTTTCCTTCTCTCCTTCTTTCCCTCTGACTGTCTCTCAGTGTCTCTTTACCTCCTGCTGAACCTTGCTGAGGACACGAGGACGGAGTTAAAGATGAGGAATAAAAACATCGTTGTTCTGCTCGTCAAAGTCCTTGAGCGGGATGACGAGGAGCTGCTGGTCCTGGTGGTTTCCTTCCTCAAAAAACTGTCCATCTTCCTGGAGAACAAGAATGATATGGTGAGCGTAGATGTTCTTTAGAATTCGTCCTGTCAGCCCAGATCAATGCAGCGAGGAGAGACAGAGAGAAAACCTGGATATCGTTTTACGTATTCATTTACACTGAGACCCAGCGCTGTTGAGTCATTGCCAGAGTGTCACTACAAGAGTCTACAAATGAGGTCATTGACTTGTTAAACCATGAACCAAGTAACAAAGTGCATTTCCTCATATCAACCTCAAAATGACAGATCCAATACAAAAATAAATCACCAACAGGGGGAGCAGTATTATGGACTGAATATTGCTTTTGTAAAGCAGTAACCAAAGGTGGGGGGGCAATAGAAAGTGCTTTGAATTAGTAAATGGCAGATGGACTTTGCTGGTATACTACAGATTCTAGGTGTAGCAGCAGGGGAGGAGAGCTCCAGGGCACAGAGCTTCAGCACCCTTACTGGCATGCCTCCTCTTTCTCGGTTTGATTGTCGGTGGACACTGTACCAAATCAATGCGGCCTTTTCACCCACATCAACGTCATGAACACGATTACCATCCATTTGACCCTTTGTTTTCAACCATACAAAGGGGTTTTCATACGGCGTAAATAAAGCATTTAACTTTTACATTCTTTGTGTAAACCTTTTTAGGTAAATCTAATTTGAAGACTCTTATTTATTAATCTTGTGAAGGGTTCATTGCATGGATGGAATATGGTCTCATAAAAGTATAAAATGCAAGTCTCCTTCAAAAAAGAATTCCAAGGCCCATTCTAGGGTTTGTGTAAAATTGAAATGCCTCTATTCTAGATGGCAAACATGTATGAAAAATGTTTTCGATATTATAGATTTTCTCCAAATGATATAAACACGGAACACCTGAAGGCTCCAAAGAGCACCTGTGTGTGGGATCACCACAGAGATCCATCTCCTAACTGGTCTCTTACTTTGAACTAAAGCACCCAATGCATTGAGATGTCTCTGTTAGTGCTTTTGTGTGCACACATTGTTGATGTCCACGTGCTTGTTAAGGGAGCAGCGGTTCCACCTCTTCGGGTCTCTCTGTTTGCAGCACGATCCGTGATTGTGATGCTCGGCGAACAGCAGATCTTGATCGTCACTGTTTAGTTGCGATACATAATTCCTTCAGAAGAGGCTTTTGGACCGAATGTTAACACACTGTTTGTTTTGGTCAGTAATGTACGTGTGGCTCCGCTATAGATTCCATTAAAGGCTCTTTGGATACTCTGTTTTCACCACTAATTGTCAAAAAGCCAAAGTAAGTCAGAAATTCCCATCTATTTATTTTCTAAACTCTAACAAAAGTATCTCTCAAAATAACAACACCACCTTTACAATGCGTCACGGTCAACAACCATAGACCTCGCTGTCTGTCACAGTATCAGTTAGTCCTACTGTACTCTGAAGTAGACTACCATGTCGATTAACTGGGTCACCCAGTGGCCACCATTGAGATTTCTCTCAACACCTGGTTTCCAGCAGTTCAGATCTTGGTCTTGCAGAAGTGACCAGGTCAGTTATTGTTGGGAGGGTGGGTCTTGGGTAACACCCAGTGAGGTCTTTACTCTTTGAAATGTTTGCCTGGTGTCCATTTTGCTGAATTCCTGTTCAAGTTTGTATCCGAGTTTGGCTTCAAGGATACGACGAGGGAAGCAGTGTTTTTGCATTTAAAGTTCCCTCAAGCTGTAATTGTTTAATCCAGGATTTAATTTGGGATTTTTTTCTTAATGTCGAAACTAAATGTGTGGTGGTGAAGTAGTCTGTGATCACAGAGCCCCATCAAATAGTGTCTGTGTTGATAATTTTCAGGCTGAGGTGGATACTGTGGAGAGATTGGCTTGTCTGGTCCCCTGTGACCATGAAGACCTGTTGAACCTGACTCTGCGTCTGCTGCTCAACCTCTCCTTTGACTCTGGACTCCGAGCCAAGATGGTGGAAGTTGGACTGTTACCTAAATTAACGGCTTTGTTGGGTAACACTAACGTATACTTTATATACTGTCTATATTGCATGTACAGTACAATATACTGTATTCACAGTACAGTAGCCATGTGAAGAAGTTTTTGCATAATATCTTAAGATGGTAGTGTTACTTATTTTCCCATTTTAAGATTTGTTTGTCGTCATGCAGGTGATGAGAACAATCGTCAGGTTGCCATGCGTATCCTGTATCACATCAGCATCGACGACCGCTTTAAGGGCATGTTTGTTTACACTGACTGCATACCTCAGGTACGATGTCATCATGTGAAAATAACTTTAAATCAAACTTCAAGGAGTAATATGTAACACTGACTAGCGTTTAAGATGGTAAATGGACTGTACTTGTATATTTCTTTTCTAGTCTTCCGACACTCAAAGCACTTTCACACTACATGTCATCGTTCCCCCATTCACATCCTGATGACAGGAGCTACCATGTAAGGTGCCACCTGCACCTTACATGCACCTAACTAACATTCATACACCGCAGGAACAGCCTGCGGGAGCAATTTTGGAGTTAAGTTTCTTGCTCAAGGACACATCGACCTGCGACTAGCGGAGCCGGGGATCGAACCGCCGATCCTCTGATTGAAGGACGACCCTGCTCTCCACTTAGCCACAGGGGGTACTGCAGGCACATTTTAAAGTGTTGGAGAGAGTTGCCCCCCCCCCCCCCCAGTGCAAGCTGGACGAACGGAATTTGAACACATCATTGATTCAGTCACAAAAATGTAATAAAGTTCTAAAACAGGTATATGGTTTAGATAAACAGGGCATGAGTTACGTTTCTCAAGTACTCGATGTGGACGTCAGTATGTGTTCAACGTAACGTTACAGAGTTATCTCTGTTGCTTCCATGGCAACAGCACGCTGTGTTTGTTTGCCAATTTGTTTCATACCTGGCAACCCGAGGTGCCGAGATGGGCAGTGGGTGGGGTCACACAGGGCAAAACAAAAACAGAAGTTCGGCACCGGAATGGAAATTTGTTGTTGTAGAAGCCAGAATTTCAACTTAATCTCTGAGGACATATCATGGTGATTTAATATAGTAAATATTTGACATGTTGTTAAATGAATATGAACTGTTAACCTCAACATTTACATTGACTTTGATAGTTCTAGAGTTACAGGTGAAACTGGTGTGTGTGTCAAGCTAATGCAGATGCTGTATGAGCACGGTGAGGAGGAAACCGAAGCTGAGCTCATCTCCATCTGCATCAACCTGGCTGCAAACAAAAGGAACGCACAGCTCATGTGTGAAGGTATATCTATCCGAGCTGCATGTACTGCAGGTTTTTTCCCCACTTAAGCTTTTGTTTTGGTGGGGGATTCTTTCCTTTTCTGAGGCAAATTTGTGATTTTTGGGCTGTATATGTTAGTTGACTTGAATTTAATTTTAAGGCCAGATAATGGCTCACTATCTCTGCAAAATCCTCCAAATTCCATAAACTTTCTCCACGGGTAGAGCTTGTATTTCATGCTATTTGTAGAAGCAGATTGCATAGGATTGTTTCTGACTCAAGTGATCTAAACATTTACAATAACTCCATGGTGTTGTTAAGTCCAAAAGTCAAGAGAGATAGAAGTAGTCATTTCCTCATTGTTTTTATCAAAATATTCTGCTTCAATCCATATTTGTTGGTGGTCGGGTGGGTACACAACCCAGTTTGGTTGTTTGTGATTTTTGGACAAACAATTCTTTTGTTTCACTGAACAAGAGTCTCTGTTTGTGTCTCCGTCTGTAGGAAATGGGTTGAAGATGCTGATGAAGAGAGCTCTGAAGCTGAAAGACTGCCTCCTGATGAAGATGATCAGAAACATCTCTCAACATGACGGACAGACCAAACCAGTGTTCATAGTGAGTTATACATGCACAAGAAAAAGATCCCAAAAGGTTTATGAATAACTGAAGTTTTGAACAAGTATTGTTGGTATTGGTATAAGTATCAGTATAACTGTTAGTGGTAGTAGTGCAAGCAGGAGGAGCAGTCTTTTATTTTAGGAATAATGTCTCCTGTCTGCGTCTGTTAGGACTATGTTGGTGACCTGGCAGCAGAGATCCGGGCAGAGGAAGAGGAGGAGTGGCTTCTGGAGTGTCTCGGGACGCTGGCCAACCTCACCATCCCTGACCTGGACTGGGAGTTGGTGCTGAAGGAGTACAACCTGGTACCCTACCTCAAAGACAGACTTAAACCAGGTGCGGCTTACATTTAGAGAATACGCATGAGGCTGAGATATCAACTTCAGATTTAACTTAACCCTTAACTATAATGTGCACCAGTTTTAGGGCCCAACTGATGGAGCCACACTTTTAGTAAAGTTATTTTTGCATTGGCATATACATGTATGCAGCATATACTGTATGCAAAAAACCCCTCTATCTTTCATTGGCTGCAGTGTATGTATATTATTGCAATTTTAATTTATAGTTTAATAAATGAAATAAATCATTTTATTTACAGTGAAACTTCAGAATTTACTGATATCATATATTCCCTGTTATTAGGGAATATATACCGGACATCTTCTTTATACATTCAGAGCTCCTATTGAGGTCTTGAATGAAGCTTTGAATGTCTGACGTTATCAATAAAAGTACTCCTATTGGAATAAAGTGTTTCATCGGATTAAATGACATAGGTTTTTTATCAACTCAACTTTCTATAATGAATATAATTAATGCATGTTGTTTTTGAAAGGCTAAACCAATATGGATTGAAGCGGTATATTTAGATAGTTAGATTAAAAACATATTGTGAATTTTGGAAATGATTACAATGCAGCCACCACTGGAATCTAATTCTACAAATAGTATAGTAATACTAATAATATAAGTGTAGCCTGATCTTTATCTGCAACTGTGCAGAAATGAATAAATGAATAAATATGCTAAAACAAATCTGTGCAGCATGTGAATATTGATTTAGAATTCAAATGCCAACGCTATGAATGAAGCTTCAAATCTCTTCTGTGTAGCCCTAATTGTTCCTGTCATCTAAAGTTTAGTATTCGAGTGTAAAATATCCTACCTCAGACATATTTTTCTCACAACTCTAAAGATACATCATCTGACATAATATCATTGGGTTTTTATTGGTCCAAATGTCCCGAACACAGCAAAATAAGAAGGAAAGAGAAAACCCAGGCAGAGTGCAGGGTCTCTTTAAATAGAGACACCACACAGAGAAATTATTGTTGTATCAGTCTATACATTGTCTTTTAGGAAATTGTTGCATATTATACCCTTTTTAATAAAGTTACATCTTCTAGAATCGTTTGTGTTCCAGGCTCAGCAGAGGATGACCTCATCCTGGAGGTGGTGATTATGATCGGAACAGTTTCCATGGATGACGCCTGTGCTGCCATGTTGGCGAAATCTGGCATTATTCCTGCCCTTATCGAGCTGCTGAATGGTAACACACACACACACACGTTTACGCACCCTTTTGAGATTTAGAATTTTCCGATGCTCTCTGATGTTAAAGTCTTCAAGATTCAATAATTGATCCCCAAATCAGCCGCAGTAACAACAAAACATATAATCTGACAGCTAACAAGGAAAGGAAAGCTGCCAAAATAACAGGAGAGTAACTAGACTATAGTGCAGTTAATACGACCGCTGAAGCATTTGGTTTGCAGGATGAGTGCTGCTGTAGAAACGACGTGTTCTGGTCTTACATTAAAACCTGTTACCATCTGTGAATCTGTGAAAGTTGACAATGGTTAAATACGTTGTAGATAACCATATATCGACATGGATAAGCTGCCGTTCGAAAAACGAACACATAGTTTATCGTAGGCTAGGCATTTTGCCTGGTGACTACGAGTATTCAAAAGCGCTTTTACGCAGACTTACCCTTAGTAAACTGTGTAAAATATTAATTTTCTGTCGTATTGTTATCAAATCTGAACTTCTACTAGGTACTATGACTTCATGCTATGGTACCATTGTGTTTTCCAGCTAATAAGTCCTAGCCATAGTTAACTGCAGGCATCTGTTGGCCAAAAAAAATCCAGGCGGAAATAAAAACCTTCTGTTTCAGTGTGTTGTAAACTCTATAGCTCAACTGTTTGTGAAGAAACTTCAGAGTGTTACCTTTCAATAGAGACTAAAACCATACATGTACTCCCAATGGTTCAATAAGAGCTGTCAGTTTACCTTGGGTACGCCTTGGATAGGCGTTTGAGGCAAATTTTACAGGAGTGATAAGAGGTTTTAAGCTGTCTTTAAATCAGAGGTAGCCAACACGGTGCCTGCAGGGACCACGTGAGTCGCCCGCAAGGCATGTTCTAAAAATAGCACTAGTATGAAGGCAAATAACTGTCAAAATCCGAGAGTGCAAATAAGATCCACGCACGCGCGTGTGTGTAGAGGTCCCGCGCGTGCAAATTAAACAGCAGCGCGCATATATTATTTTGACAAGTGCTTTCACATTACGCCGCGCAGGATATCTCTGCTCGTGCGAGCAATATTGCAGCCTGCGAGGAGAAAACCATGCTTTTGCGTGCGAGGGGCGTGGCCTAGCGCGGGACTACATCACTGCTCTTCTGCTCGCAAAACCTTCACCTGCTCGCTCGCGAGTAGTTTTTCTTTGTGACACTGAGTGGGCGGACCCAGTCACCATTGTATAACTACATTTAATTGGTTACAATCCTCGTCTTTGGATTGGCCAGATATCCCTCGAATATCAATCTTACATAACTGATAATTCGTATAAACATGGGACAGAGTTCATGATTTCTTCAAAAATGTTACAAAGGTAGTGGTTAGTACAAACGAGACAGGATGTGAGGATATGACAGTTAATGATTTCCTAAAAAATGTTAGAAGTGATAATTTGTGCAAAAATATAACGGGTGTGATTTTGAACAAAATACACGGACATCAGTTAATAATTATTGTGAGGAATAATTAACATTGCCATGTGATCAGACAGTATCTTCACATATATTATTATTATTAAAAGGTGATCTGTGCAACTTTGTTATTCAGGAAGTTTGTATCAAACAAGTAGCCCTTCGTACTACTCAGTGCCCTTGAAGTAGCTCTCTGTTTCAAAGGGGTTGGTGACCCCTGGATTAAAAGAACAGTCTTCTGGATGATGGTGAGGAAGGGTGTCTTCCCATCTCAGGGAGAAGGAGATTGTAGTTTTGTTGTTTGTTTGTTGACGACCAGTAGTAGTTCTTTAATTTAGGTACAGATGTACCTGTTTCACAGAGGTCTGATTAAAATAAATCACTTTTCTTTTGTTTGAATGAAATAACCCAATGACATCAAGGTCAATTTTTTGTTTATTTACTTTTGACAGTGATGTTTTGAAGGGCACACACAGAGACAGATATCACACCTCATATAGAAAATAATGATGTCCTGCTTTCCAAATGTTCTTCTGTTTGCTGAATGCAGCCCAACAGGAGGACGATGAGTTTGTGTGCCAGATCGTCTACGTCTTCTATCAGATGGTGTTTCACCAAGCTACACGAGACGTCATCATCAAAGACACCCGTATCCTTCCCACACTGCACTCTGTCTACCCCAAATTTACACACAAATGAGAATCTCGTGGCTGGCTTTACAGCTGCTGAAGTTGAAGTGAGACAGGTTTACACACTGTAAAACCACCCAAAGAATGTCTTTCTTTAATGGTCTCTGTAGAGGCTCCAGCCTACCTGATAGACCTGATGCATGACAAGAATGCTGAGATCCGAAAAGTGTGCGACAACACCCTCGATATTATTGCTGTAAGTGAACGCTTTGCTGATGCACTCACATGGAAGCAACCTGAACTAGCTAAAGGGACACATTAGGCTTGGGCGGGATCTGTTTTTTTCATACATGCAAGGTTACAAGGTTACTTTATTTGTCATTGTACAAGAGGGTCACACAACGAAATGCAGATTGTAGTCCCAGTCTGCTACATAACAAAACACAAAAAATATATATTATATATGGAGAGTGGAGGATGAGTTAAGGAGTCTCACAGCCAGAGGAAAGAAGCCGTTCTGAAGTCTGGTGGTTCATCAGCTGATACTTGTGTATCTCTCTCCAGACAGCAGCAGGTTAACAGGTTGTAGCTATGGTGGGTTTTGTCTTTTAATATCCTTTAGCTCTTAGCAGGCTCCTCTTCTCACCAATATCACTGATGCTTATGGGTATGATATTTTGATCACCTGCTGTAGAGCTGTCCTGTCTCGTGCACATCCCATGATAGTTTGTAATGTTTCCAGTCAGGATGCTTTCTGTTGCCCCTTTGTACAAGTTGACAAGAACGTGGTACAAGAAGTTTGCGTTCTTAAGTTTCCTAAAGAAACACAGCATTTATGAGTTTTCTTCACCAGATGGAGATGTGTGATGACCATGTCAGGTTTTTTGTGATTCTCAGGAACTTAGGCTACAGTAGGTTGTTCTCTAATTGATTTCCTTTTTTCCTTCATCCTCCAGGAGTACGATGAGGAGTGGGGGAGGAAAATTCAGTCTGAGAAGTTCCGTTTCCATAACAACCAGTGGTTGGAGATGGTCGAGAGTCGCCAGGCTGACGAGTCTGAACCGTATCTCTACGATAATGATGAGAGGACTGATCTATTCTACAGCGCAGGTACACACACAAGCAAAACACTGGTCCGTGCACGGAAAAGAGACATGCTGGTCATTTCATCTTGACCATGAAAAGCAACTTATCTCTGATCTTGATCTTGTCACGGTACCAACAGGTCAGTACCAACAGATCATTGCGCTGGTTTCAGTACATGTGTTTATGAGCAAAGTGTGTTTGAAAGTTGACACCGGAAGTGAGCAGCACAAAGCGTCTGTCCACGTCTTCCACACTGACCAGCAGCAGCACAGACGGCAGCTGACCGATATCAGAAATAGAAGCTGCAGTGTTTTGAGGTATTTTACTGTTTACTGTGGTAACATTAAGAAAAGATGATGATGATTTTGGTTTAGTATGAGGTGTAAGCACTATATTTAACCCCAAGGAGCATGGGAAGAAGCTATGGTGTGTGTGTGTGTGTGTGTGTGTGTGTGTGTGTGTGTGTGTGTGTGTTTTATCCTTATGTGTTTGTGTCTTTAGATGGAATAACTCCTGCAGACGGTTCAGTCAGCCCAGATTTCTTCAATGACCTACAGGCTCAAAATGGAGACGTGCACCATACCAGGGTGAGTTAACTCACTCCAGGAACATGAGCTGTCTCACTGAACGTCTAGACCGCTTATTCAGAGCAAAAACAAATGAGTCCTGTCTTCCCTCCTTTTACTGAGCTGATTTAATGGTCTGCCTCCTCGAGATTTACTTTGTAAATAATTCAACTGTATATTGATTGGTGCTGAAAATCAACCTCAATTCATAAATCATATTCCAGAACGAGACCAAAAGCCGTATGTGCAGTGTTAATAGCATAGTTATGTTATACCGGCTAGGGATTTCGCCATAACCATGGTTACATAACATCACAGTTTTCTTAACCGTAAGAATTGTAGAAGCTACAATATCTATGGTGTGCTGATTCCTGTCTGTGACACGGTTTCTGTGTGCAGTGAGCTCTCCTCTCGTGCGAGTCACACAGCACATTGGTGTGCGATGGTGGGTTTTGTGTTTCACTCAACTAAAGATTTGAAGAGAAGAGCTGTGAAAATGTCAGAGGAAACCGACATTCAACAAAGAATACTTTAGAGCAGGGGTCTTCAAGGTTTTTCAGGCCAAGGACCCCCAAACTGATAGAGAGATGGAGCAGGGACCCCCGACTATATATATTGTATAAAATTGTGTTTTACAGTATATTGAACTGGGCCTAGTGCCATGTATAAACATACCTCTTTATTGTGCATTCAATACTAAGCTATTCAAACAATACACAGGTTCATATATTCATGTTTTTATTTTAAACATGTGCAAGGTACAGTGAGTAGGGGGGCCGAGCCACTGCCATTTATAAACATACCTTGTCAGCTGATACCAATTCCAATATCAACATTGTCTGTCAATAGCATGATAATCATGCATGCAAGCTATTCAAATTGACGTTTTTATTTTAAACATAAATGTGGAAATGAAAATGAGTGATGACCTATTAGTGCCACTGCCATGCATAAACATACCTGTTATCTTGCATACAATACTGAACTATTACAATAATGGACAGATTCATGTTTGGGGAAAAAAAAAATAAAAATGAATTGTCTAATCAACCAAAAACTTCGTGGACCCCCTGTTGAAGACCTCTGCTTTACACAGTTTAACCATCATGATGTGAAATTAAGTCTTATTCAGTAAAAATATGCAATCAGGAGATCGGCATCAATGCTTTCTAGTTGCTGATCCCTGACAATGTAACACTGTGAAGTACTGTGAGCAGCAGGAGGAGGAGCTAACGGAGGTGCCATTGGTTCATTGTGATGCGCTCATTCTCCATTCTGTGAAAAAGAGCATTGGTAGAAGGTCAATTATGACGTTATCATGATCATTAAAGTTGCTAATAATTGAGATTTTTTTCATCAATAAAAATACATATAGATGACTTTCACAAAGTAAAATTATATAGTTGATATTATAATAATTATAGATATCTTAGTGTGACGGCCCTGCCTCTAACAGCAGTCATGGCTGATTGACGGATGCACCTGGTCATTGAGCATAAAGCCCTGCTCCAGTGTTGCTCTGGGCGCGGGTTGTCTGGTATACATGGAGTGATCGCTGCCGGTTATGTTTGGTTTTGCTGACAACACACACACTTTATCACACATGCATCCACGTTGACATTACTGATGTTACTGACTGACACACTTCATAAAGTTAACTATTTCTTTATTTGGTTAAAATAAACACTTTACGTAACCATCATCTGTTGTGTCTTTGCCGCATTTGTCATAGCCTAGGAGCCAGGTTGTGACACTTAGTTCAAATATTAAGATTAATAATTGTGAAAATCTTGACAATACTCAAAATATCAAAATGTTCATATCGTGACATCCCTAATCCCGACCTGTTCAGTCTCTTTTTCAAGTAGTGTTGCTGTATTTACAGCTTGCTGCTCAGCAAAGACCTCTGATTTCTGTTATTTAACTGAAGAAGAAAAGCCTACAGCTTTCATATTAAAGACTGTGGATGTCAGTGGGACATCACGGTGATACAGTATATCACCCAACCCCAAACAATCAGGTCAGCGATCTTGTTGTCGAAGGTGACCTGTGACCTGTAAAGAGCAGACTACAGGCATTCATTATGTTTTACAATATCAGACTCTGCACACAAACGCACAAATACATCACTTCAATCTAACTTCACAGAGAACATAGAGGGCAAAACAGCATCACCGATCAAATGTTCTGGATTTGGTCAAAACAAAAATACACAGAATTCATCAGAGTCTGTCTGTACCGAGCCCGTTTGTACTGGTACTGTGTTCATTCGACCGGCTTTGTTTTCCAGAGATGGCAGCGATGTCTTCGACCAGACCAGCTCATCACCCGGACGACCAGCTACCGCCTACGGCTTCAGACCTGATGAACAGCCCTTCTATCAGTACACATAGACACACACAGGACGTCCTGTCATCTTAGACCCATTCCCCATCCACCTCCTGCATGTCCACCACCATTCCACATCTTCAGATCCAATTTCACTGCTAGAATCCCTCATGACTGAAGGCTTTACGTTGCTATAGTTAGACATTGACCATAAAGGCTGAAACACTACCACTGCAGATGTTCAACGAGTTATTACATTAGTCACCTTTCATTACTCATTTCAACCATTCACCATTATGTAAAAGGAGTACCGGTAGTCTTCCTTACACACTGGCTACCGTCTTCTTATAGTGACTTCCCAGTGGGTCAGCTTTTAATTTAATGTGAAGAGACTTAACATTTCTAATATATGTTTGTAAGTTTTTGCATGTTTTTCCTATGTAATAATGAATATTGCTTCTTCAAATCCACTGAAAGAAACGATTAGTCAAATGTTACATTTTCCTGTTTGAGACCCAACAGTTTGACTCCTCTATCACTATGTCTACGTGCTAACCTACAATATGCTGTTGAATACAAGAAGAATCTGTGGGATTATTGTAACTCACCACTGTTCCGAGGGCTGACTTTCCTTTGATGAGGAAAGTATAACCACAGATTGAGCAGCAGCGTTAGGACACGGGGTCAAATTCAAGATGAAAATTCAAAAAAGCAAACTCGGTGTGAAAGTGGCTCAAAACTGTTGCCTCAAAATTGAAGCTTAGCACCAGCATATGGCTCCTCCTGGTGCCCACCGCTCAGTGTGCTGTATATTTTACTGATGTCAACCCATAACATTTCCAACAATGCAGTATGTCACTCCATAATAACATGATGTAAGTGATCTGTCACTAGCCCTAACCCAAACACCAAGCCCCCAGGAAGCCTTTGAAGATTTTCATCGTGGTCAAACCGTGGAAGTACAACTTCTGGGTCCGTCATGTGATACCTCTGGGCCCAAAAAGCCCTTCCCCATAGACTTACACTGGGAAAGAGACATTTATAAGTTTTAAACATCTTCCCAGTACAAACCCTTATGTAGCCCTCATTTAAATCAGTATGTCCTACAAGTTGTAAAATGCACTAATAGCTGAAACCAGATGTATTCTTCCTCCGTTCATGTGAATGAGCCCGAGGCCGAGCAGCTGGCAGGATGAATTGCATGAAACACTAGTGCGCTTGCTTTATGGGAAAATGGATGTGGAAGGTCTGGCTAATTCTATTCTCTAATTCTGTCCAGCTGATCTTTGTGGATGGAGTCAGTTGCAGACTTGCATGTTCGGTTGGATGGTGCACTGTGTCCTCCTCTTAAATGTCTAATGACAAAAGTCAAAATTAATTAAAAAAAGATCGATGCAATCATCTCTAGAATTTCATTCCATGTTTTTATCCTACGCAATAGTCTGCTTCAATCCATATTTGTTGGTGTTTAGCCTTTCAAAATCCTTTTCACTGTGGTCAGAAACTCTTTACTCTCCAGAACACACCTGCTTTACCGTTGTGGTCTGGCAGCAATCTAATGGCACCATAAATGACATTTATACAACCACAATAACACAAAATCAGACATATGCTAGCATGTTGTAACCTTTTTGATACGCTACAAGAATGTGGTGAGGCATAGAGAAAGCAAGACAACGAGAGACTGAATATACAGCAAAATTCAAAGCTTTGCTTAATTGAATATGGTTGTGCTATTGTTGACACGTCTCGTCATATTGCCCAGGCCTAATGTGGATCTTATTATTCTGCGCATCCTGTTCTGACATAATGAATGTCAACATTATTGGTATGATTTTTATGTGACAAGTATAATTTTAAAAAATTGTGACTCGATTCTCGCCAATTTAAATCCCAGTTTGGTTAAGTGAATAAATAATGTACCCTCAAGCAGGGCTCCTACTGCTAGACAACAGAGCATGTCTGAATGTATACATGTGAATCAGAGTAGTATAGATTCTTTTTCTTTTTTTTTTTTTTATTAACCACATGCAGTGTTACTTATAGGCATATTTGCACATATAGTTTTGATGCATGGTTATGTTTTGTTTTTTATTGTTTAAATTATTGTTAATCTGTATATTGTGTTTTTTACAATAGTACTTAAAAAGACACTGTAAACATAGTACTGGACTATACATACACTCCATCTCTCTCACTGTCTTTCATCCTCAGGTTCTTTAATAATAAATAAATCCCACATTTCATAAGACACATGACTTTTGTTCACAATGACATAATGGGCCCCGTGGACTTTTCTTGGACAAGCATTGTTTTGTGTTTCGCACCAAAAGTTCTGTATGTAACTTAAAGGTGCTCAGTATGGAGTTTAGGGCGTACCTGTGGTTGATGGATCGCTCCGCACGGCTTTCAAAAGCACCAACAGTGCAAACGGCAACGGTGCTGACATCATTGAAATTCAGATTAGTAGTTATTACAGTAAAAGTACAGGTGCTGGTATACTATCATTGTATTCCAAAAGTCTTAAAGAAAGCAAGTGAAGCCTTGGAGGTTAAAGAGTCACTGCCCGCCCGGAACGCTCCAAGAAGAAAAGCAAACGCACCTGCAAAAAAACAAATCAATTCATTGATCAACATCACATCTGGCAATCTATCGGTTGGGGAATTTTGACAGGGTTTTTGAACAAAGACGATCCAAGAGCAGAGGAGATATCTGAAGATATTTCACTAGCACACAGAAAGCAGCCAAAGTGTGAGGCTAAAGCTGGAGCGCAGGAAACAGTCATACACTTTGAGCGGCAATCCAAGCACAAGCAGGGGCTTTAGGTTTGAAGGGAGAGCATTACAAAATCTGAAGTGGAATCAATGAGTCATGCTCTCAAATTGAAAGAACATGCTCTTGGATAAAGATAGGAGAATAGCTCCATAGCGCTGACAGACGCAGGTATGTCACTTTATAGCAACACACAGACCTAGGACATTTGTTTTACACTTTCAATTTAACACTTTGATGTGTGTTACATGACGTTGAATCTGTGATGTTTTCATACATGATTATCATGCTGTTTGTGACTCAGAGATTTGTCCTTTGAGTGTTGTTGCTTATTGTTTTCTGAATTTGTGGAGTACGTTCTCCTTTTACAGGTCATTATTTGACAAAAGGGGAAATACACAAGCAAGAACAGCATCCTAGCTCGAGCCATGCACCACAGCGCATAACAGAAGATGGAGAAACCCACGAAATGAACGTTACAGCTTCAATCGTGTGTCTGAAAACTCAGAAAGAATCACTTTGATATAAAAATATATATTGACTGAATGATTATTTTGTCTGTGATAGATTTAGATATTAAACATATTTATGGTACAGAGAATGTTAACTCAAAGGTCCACTTACTGGAGCTCAAAGCTTTCAAACTCAACTTGCGGTCTTTGTCTTTATGAACATTAATGCTCAGAAATGACAAACGAAATCAGTTAATACTTCTAATCTTCAAAAAAACGTTCATACCATTTGAAAGCTATTGGATGAAAGAAAGACGCTCTTCAGATGCTCTAAGAGAAATGCAAGTGTTTTGAGTCGTTGGACCTATTTGATGCTAAATATGTCGGGCTCAAGGTGCTTCTTCTTTTTGATATCTAAATGCCTCTATTTCTGTCAGAGTTATGACCAAGAAAAAATAATGGGACACTAAGTGAGGTCATAATTATGATACATTAAGTCAAAGCTATGATAAAATATAAAGTCCAAAAATGTACTCACACAAGATAATATTTACGAACTATCTCATTATTTTACACATTGTGAGTCAAATTTCAACTTTCTAAGTCAAAATGTTAATTTATTATCTCATAATTTTGACTTTGTATCTCATGCTTTTACAGTTTTTCTCAATTGCTAAAACACTAAAACCCATTGGCTGAACAAAGTTCTCAGTTGCCTGAACTCATTTAGCTAATTGTGCAGTCTGTTGTCAATACCTTAAACTATTTCACATGGTAAAACACAATTTGCAGATCTCACTTAGACTTTTCAGCAAAACTCTAAACACATTCTCAGTCTCAAAACACATTCTGCACTCTAATGCACATGTCATCCATACTGGTAAACACAAGTGGCAACAATCAAATACAAATAGAGAACACATGTCATTGATTAAACACAATCACTCAAAATTGATTTCACTTGTATCAAATGATGTGACACAACCAATATAAGCCAGTTTAGAGAGCAAACAGGTGGTTGAACTTGGGAAGGACAAAGTCTGAGAATGGATAGAAGAAACAATGTGAGAGGACAAGGACGAGGACAAGTGTGTATGAGAGGTGGGCGACGAGGAGGAAGAGGAGGAGGGCAAGAAAGAGGAAGAGGAGGACGAATAGGAAGAGGAAGACAAAGAGTGGAAATATCTGATGAAATTCGAGCAACAGTCATAGACCATGTTATAGTCCACGGACTGGCAATGAGGGAAGCAGGACTTAGAGTGCACCCCAATTTGAGCCGATTTTCTGTGTCCACCATAGTAAGAACATTCAGAGAAGAGAACAGGTACAGTATGCTACTATATTTTTGTAATTGCAAATTTACTGTACTACACTATATGCAGCTGTTTCAATAGACATTTGTAAAGTTTATTACTGTATGTATTGTACTGCATGAATATTTTTTGTAACTGCACATCTACTTTTTGTAGAACTGCAAGGCTGACACATGCAGGTGGAAGGAGAGCTATATTCACTCAGGAACAAGAGACCGTTATAGTGGGCATGGTCCTTCAAGATAATTCAATACGACTCAGAGAAATCCAGGAACGAGTGATACAAGACAACACACACTTCCAGGGAATCGACAGTGTGAGCATTTCCACAATTGACCGTGTCCTCCATCGTAACAGGATATGAATGAAACAAGTATACAGAGTACCTTTTGAGCGCAACTCACCAAGGGTGAAAGAACTGCGAGCTCAGTATGTGCAAGTAAGTGTACATTCAGACACATTTACTGTAATCCAGATTGTCTACAGTACTGCCACATACTATGTGAATGACATTACTCTTCAGTACATACAATGTATGTGAATCAGAAGTGCATACAGTAGGCCTAATTGAACTCTACAATATAGCACTGTCTCTGTACAACTTACTAAATTCTACATACATTATATTGTATTCCTACACAGACAATATTTGACTTGGAATCCTTGGACAGACCCCGTGAGTTAATCTTTGTCTATGAAGCAGGCTTCAATCTAACAAAGAGGAGAAGGAGAGGCCGAAACGTGATTGGACAGCGGGCCAATGTTGAAGTCCCTGGTCAACGAAGTGGCAATGTCACAATCTGTGCTGCTATCAGCAACCATGGTGTTCTACATCACCATGTTACACTCGGGCTATATAACACCCAGCATCTTCTAAGATTTCTGGCCAATCTAAGAGATATTTTATTTGAGCAGCAGGGTCAAGAGCTAAATGAGAATCCCATTCCCAACAATGTGATGGTGCTGGACAATGTCAGTTTCCACCGAGCTGCTCAGGTAAGGGAATGGTTTAACATCAATGGTCAGTTTATGACCTTGTACCTCCCTCCATACTCTCCTTTCCTGAATGCAATTGAGGAGTTTTTCTCCTCATGGAGATGGAAAGTGTATGATAGACAACCCTACACCAGAGTAAATCTGCTGCAAGCCATGGAATTAGCCTGTGGTGATATAGGTGAGGAATCATGTCAGGGCTGGATACGGCACACAAGAGGCTTCTTCCCCCCGTTGCCTCAGGAGAGAAAATATTGCTTGTGATGTCGACGAAGTGCTCTGGCCTGACCCAGCCCAAAGACAAGAAGAAGCACATTGATGACATGTTGACTCCTTTGATTTTTGTCCTTTTTACTGTAGTATTGTATACTGTAGTAGGCCTACAGTGCATTGTAGGCTGTATAATGTACAATAAACAAATTGTATGGCCTTGAACATCGTGCTTTCTATTTGTTACAGTAACAGTACTGACTGCTCAATAGATTTTGACTGGTTGCAGGTTCATATCAACAAAGAACAAGAATTACAGTATCACAGAGACAAACGACACGTTTGTGAGATGCAGGGTACAGTACTGTAAAAATAGGGGTACAAGGAGGAGGAAGAACAAAAGAAATTGCAAAGAGCAAAGCACAGTAGTAATTTCTGATCAATTTTGAGCTACTGTAATAGAACATGTTTTTGTTCATATGAAATTTGTTTTGAGATTAAAAATCTACTTCTCCCTGAGAACTATATGTTTTGAACAATGTGTTTTCTATTTATTGATGTATTGTTTACTGACTGCTTGATAGTGTATATTATTTTGATCACTTTGTTTATGATTTGAGAGCAGTGTTTAATTTTGAGCACAGGTAAAACTGTTTTGAGGCGAAAGTTTCATTTTCCAAGAGGATTCAGAGGTTTTGTAAATAGTGCTTGAAGATGAGGTTTTGTGTTTACAGTTTTGAAAAAATGGGTGACCGTTTCAAGAAATGTGTCTTAGCAATCGAGAAAAACTGTAATCAAGTATGCTACCCAGACGGTTTCTAATTTAAAGCTAGAGTGCAGAAATGTTGTCTCCCTCTGCTGGCAGTGAGAGTAATTTAATTACAATAATTAAAATAGTATTTTAATCTGAATTTGAATTACACAAACACTGTCAACATGCTTATGATGCACCTATGCCTGCAGGTGAGCTTGCCACATCTCCCCCGCCTCCAGGAACGCTCTTTTGCCATTGATTGCTGTCTGTATTGGACTTTAATCCTTCCTCTGAACGCAGAGCTTCCATTATACCTGGAAAAATCGCTCCAGGCGCTACAGCTTCTGCCATACTCCTAGCTGCTGCGCTATGGTTTCTCTCCCCTTCCTGCCTGGCAACAAGGTATTACAGAGGTAATACAGAGCAAGAATAAGCAGCCACGCTGTGAAGAACTGCAACAGTGCATGAACTAGATTGGGTGACGGCACCTTGCGTACTGCTCATGTTGTTTGCTGGTGGTTGATTCTTGCACTACTGTTTTTCACTTAGTTAATTTAACACTATTCTATTTCATTGTATATACTGTGCATTTTTGTTATTTTATATTCTATATTCTGATATTTAATTTGTCCTACTCTGTTATTTCATTGTATATATTGTGCATTTTTTAATACTTAATATTTTTGGTTACTCTGTTACTTTGCTTACTTGGTATGTCTTGCTGCTGTAACATACAAATTTCCCCCTGGGGATGAATAAAGTACATATCTATCTATCTATCTATCTATGTAACAACGTTGTGGAGTCGATAAACTACACATTCTGAGGAACAATCCGCGTTCTTCTGGTGTTCTCCAGCGCTGTCGCTGGCCACTAGCCTGTTGTTTTCTCATCCTCATTAACCAGCGTAATGTGAGCATGAAAACATGCTGGAATTAGCAAGCCAACATTAGCTAGCTAATTAGCCAGCTGCTAAATGACAAAAAAAAAACAATAGACGCTGTGAAGAGAGGCCAGGAGGGGGGTCTGATGGAAGGGAATTAACATTGTTTTTATTCATGATAAGTCCCAAGCGGTCAACTCTATCTCAGGATTACTTAAAGAGCAGGTCTGATTTAAAACAGCAGATGGCATTTAGAGCCATTTTCATTTGAAATGCAGATTTTTACAAATTTGGAAAGAAATGTCAATTTTAACACCAGCTGTGTGTTTCATCCCAGTACCGTCATTTAATTTACTTTTACAGCTAGAACATGTTTAAGTGTGCAGTTAATCCTTAACCATAAGGTTGGTGGTTCGAACCCTCGCTCCCACTGCCCGCATGTCAAAGTGTCCTTGAGTGAGACACTGAACCCAAACATGCTCCATGGGCTCTTCACAGCAGCCTCCTGCTCCTCAATGCTTAGGATGGGTTAAATGCACATGTCAAAATTCATGTACAGTGCCCTCCAGAATCATTGGCATCCTTAGTGAATATGAGCAAAACAGGCTGTGAAAAAAATTCTTTGCTGTTTATCCTCTTGGTCTTTCACTCAAAATATTCACAAAAATCTTACCTTTTCATTGAAGTAAAATTATTGAAAGAAAAAAAAATGTTGATATTAAACAAATATATTTCTCCAAAACATGTGTGCCACAATTATTGGCACCCCTAGAAAATCTCATGATTAAAATCTAACTGAAGTATAATTCCAGTCATATTTTACATTTTTAAGTTGACCTGTTTGATTAGGAACTATTAAGTGGTCAACCATGACTTCCTGTTTCACTGGGGTATAAATATGAGGTGACACAGGCCAAATTCCCTTAGTCATTCATCACTGAGGGAAAGACCCGAGAACACAGTGACGATGTGCGAGGAAAAGTTGTTGGAAAAAAGTTGGAAAAGGATATAAGGAAGTCTCTAAACAGTTGAAAATACCCATTTCCACTATCAGGGCAATAATTAAGAAGTTTAAAGCGACGGGAGATGTTAAGAATCAGCCTGGAAGAGGACCTGTGTGTACATTGACCCCACGCACTGTGAGGAGGATGGTTCGACTGGCAAAAGAATCTCCAAGGATCACAGCTGGAGAACTGCAGAGGTTAGTTGAGTCTTGGGGTCAGAAAGTCTCCAAAACTACCATCAGACGCCACCTACATCACCACAAGTTGTTTGGGAGGGTTGCCAGAAAAAAGCCTCTGCTGTCAATCAACAACAAACTAAAGCGCCTACAGTTTGCCAAACGTTACTGGGACTTTCAATGGGACCGGTTATATGGTCAGATGAGACCAAAATAGAGCTTTTTGGCAACAAACATCAAAGGTGGGTTTGGCGTAGACAGAAAGATAGCCATACAGAGAAGCACCTCATACCGACTGTGAAGTATGGTGGCGGATCTTTGATATTGTGGCGCTGTTTTTCTTCCAAAGGCCCTGGACATCTTGTTAGGATACATGGTATCATGGACTCCATCAAATACCAGCAGATATTAAATGAAAACCTAACAGCCTCTGCCAGGAAGCTTAAAATGGGCCATGGTTGGACCTTCCAGCAGGACAATGATCCGAAGCACACCTCAATATCTACACAAAAATGGTTCACCGACCACAGAATAAAGGTTTTGCCATGGCCATCACAGTCCCCCGACCTAAACCCCATAGAACATCTGTGGGATGAGCTGAAGAGGAGAGTCCACAAGTCGACCTCGGAATCTGAAGGATCTGGAGAGATTCTGCATGGAGGAATGGACTCAGATCCAGTGCCATGTGTTCACCAACCTCATCACGCATTATAGGAGAACACTCAGAGCTGTTATCTTGGCAAAGGGAGGCTGCACAAAATATTAAATGAAGGGGTGCCAATAATTGTGGCACATATATTTTTGAGAAAAATATTTGTTTCAGGATAAGAATTTAATGTTTCTTTCAATTATGTTACTTCAATTAAAGGTTCGATTTTTGTGAATATTTTGAATGAAAGATCATGAGGATAAACAATAAAGACATTTTTTCACAGCCTGTTTTGCTCATTTTTACTAAAGGGTGCCAATAATTCTGGAGGGCACTGTATGTACCTGTATGTATATGACGATCTCATTAAGTTTGAACATACCTGCAACTTTATAATGCCATAATAGGTTAGTGCTGGCCAAATGGCCAACAAATCAGTGAATGCAGCTTTGAGATCATAGGGTGTTTTTAAGCCTTTATTGGGTCATTTTATTTATTTCAGTGTTAGCAGAAAAATAAAAACAGCAAATGTAAACATGAGAAGACCAAAGAATTTGTACCTTTCATAAAACAAAAATGCTTATTAAAGTATGTAAAAACAATGTTTTCTTCTTCTTCATGTAGTAGGATAAATGTGATGCAGTAGCCTAATAACATAATGAGCTAACCTTCTTTCTCTTCTCTGGATTTTGTCACCTCACTGTACCATTTCATGAGAAACTGTGAAGTAGGAGACCCGGTCGTCATAGTATCGTGTCTGTCAGGCTGTGTGGCTGCTGTTGGGACAGGGGCCGATGACTGTCTCCACTTCGGTAATCTCAATCACAAGTTCTCTGATGATCGCCACACTGTCCAATGGCAGCTCAGCAGCACTCTCTGGCTGCGGATCCATTGGCTGAGGGCTTTGGAGAACCTCCTCCTCTTTTTCCTTCTTTCCTACTTTTTCTGCATGATCTTCTGTCTCCTTTCCTTCCTCCTCCTCATCTTCTTTTCCTTTCATAGTCTCAAGCTCACTATCTTTCTCTTCATCGTCTACCTCGTCTTCACGCTCTCTCTGCTCAGTGGTTAAGGCAGTGGCGCTCTCTGCTGGTGATTCAGATGGTTGGCAACCTTCGCCTCCTGATTGGGCTACACCTTCCGTCTGCCCTTCACTGATGTCCCCTTCTTTCCCTTCTCCTTCCTGTGTCTCTTCTTTCCCTTCTTTGATTCTCTTATGTACCTCTTTCTCCTCCGCTGCCTCTGTCTGGTTGTCTTCTTTTACCCTCTCCACCTCCCAGTTGTCCTTTATTTCTCCCGTCAGGTAGACAGCTCTGTCAGTGGGCTGCTGTGGCATCGTCTGCGTTATAGAAGGCGCTGCGGAGTTGCAACCGATCACCTCGCTTAGTGACCCGAGGCTGATTTTCGTCGGCCTATGTGTCCCAGGTGGCTGTGACGATGAAGGGCAGGGATGCTGGACAGTTGTGCCTTCTGTCACTCTGTCTGAGGTTGAGAGGTCAGGTGTGGCAGAATTTTCAGGCGTCGACGATTGATCACTTTGAGCACATTCAGTTGGGACATCTGTGGCCTGGGACAGAGTGGACATGGAAAGGTCGGGAGAGTCTGGGATGGGATTAGTGGAATCTTGGTTAGCAGGTGCATCGAGTGCACCGACTTGATTTGTAACAGCCGCATCAGAGTCAGTTGTGGCTTCGTCCGAAGGCTCAGCTGTTGTCAATGTTGTGTCGGTTCCAAGCCGAACTTCTCCTTGTGGTTCCTCGAGGCAATAAGCCTCCTCGGCTGCAGATTCATCAAACTCTTGTGTCACAACGATGACAGGAGACGGAAGCACCGCGCTCTGGGCACAGCTTTGAGCGATACTGCGTTCAGATTTGACATCGCCGTTAAGATCTGGGTCACTTCGAGGGCAAACCTCAGCTGTGACCGTCTGACCTCCCTCCTCCCCCACAGGAGCAGGTTCTTTATCGTCACCTGGCGGCACCACTGAGGAGGAGGAGTCTCGAATGGCAATGGCGGGGCTGCCTAGTGGAGAGCGAGGTGGCGTCTCCCCCTGCAGACTGTACCGACTAAAGGTCAGATCTGAAGTGTCCAACAAGAGACTGTTGCTCTTCTTACTGGCTGCATCCTGGACCGCTGAGGAGACGGGAAGACAGGTATGTTCCATTTAACATTGATCTTTATCTTCAGAGACGTGGCCTACAGGACAGAGCTGCAGCTCCCATCAATGACACAAAGGTCATGTACTTTCAAGATATTTGTGGCTCTTTTTGACCCGAAGAGTTAACGTTCTACAATTACACATAAATCACATGTGGGGAGCTTTTTATGCCTGATTGTGTCACGGTGTTTTAGGCAAGATGAATACTGACTTAAATACAGGGGAGTTCTTTGCTAGAACTAAATTCCTGTAATTCGGGGAAAACAGCATTTAGATCATTGTTGGACTCTGCAGAGAACTTAACTTCACCCCCAGGTCTGAGCCTAACTCCACCACTGCAAACTTTAGAAAAATGACAAAAAGTGGGCAAGGGGCTAAGAGATGAAACCCAGCCCACTCCACTAATCTTCTTGGTGAAATTGAATCAATTCAGAAACAAAGAATATCGCAACATAAAAAGAAGAAGAAAATACACTGTAATAAAGATATACAGTGTGTGTTTTTACCTGTCTCTATCTCCTTACTGAGCATCTTTCTCAGCACATCATCGTAGACATTATGAACCAGAATGAAACTGCTGTAGTCTGAGAAAATGTACTGCTCAAACTGCTGCAGCTCCTGGACAGAAAAACGCACGTAGAATCAATGAGAGTGAGTATGAACGTTGACACTGTAATGTGTACGAGACAGAGTGGGACAGACTGCAGCAGTGTCTTTGACCTACACTGATCCACTTGCTGTCCATCTTCCTGGTGAGAGCAGGCAGAGTGATCTCTAGTAGAACTTCCTGGTAGAGCCTCCTCTGGACAACTCTGCTGTCATAGTCCAGCTGCTGCTCTCACACACACACACACACACACACACACACACACACACACACACACACGATGGTGATGGCATTTAGTCGTCTCAATTAGCCACTTGCTAGCGACCGCCTTTTTTAAGACGCGTAAAAGCTTCAGAATTCACAAGTATGATATTTAACAAATCGTTAAAATCTTTTAAGCGTGTGTTAATTACAGACCAATTAGGTCATCTATCCAAAAACAAATTTAAATAAAAGCAGAACCACCAAAAATGCTGACTCATTAGAAGGTTTTAGGACTCATTCCTGCACCACTGCAACATACCATCACTTCACTTCATCAAAGTGAAGTGATGTGACCATTTCTGACCATTTTTGGGTTAATTTTGTTCTTTTAACATACAAAAGAAATGTCAGCTAATAGTAGTATAGAAAGCAAGAAGTGAGACGGTATAAAAGAGCAGTCTGCTAACATAAAGCTAAAGTAATCACAGCCTACAGATGGAGTCAGCGGAGCAGCATTGCAGCTGTTTTGCTGCTTGTATCACCATTTGAAATTTCTTTTGCAAACATAAGAAATGATTACCCTAGCGTGACAGAATACGCTTGCACATTGCACTGCATTGCACATACAGGTGCATATGTGAAAATGCATATACACCAGTTGCCTATACAGTATATAGGATTTTGTAAGAAAGGTAGAATCTTTTTTTTAAATTTCATACCTGTATATTCATTATAATTTCTAAAACAGCACTTTTTCTGCATATCATTGATCCTAAACAATTATCGATATGCAGAAAATAATGATCTAGCTCACACATTTATTGTGTCACAAAGAGGTGCATGACATGTTGATTTCTTATGCTGAAAAATCATTTCATGCCACATAATTCATTTGATATTCTATCTTGTCATTTGTTTTTTACCTTCAGGACTCGTTCTTTGGCTCTCTCCATCTTGACAGGGATTTGAGAAGGCTGCAGTCTGGCTGATGACTGGAGGAAGAGCTCTAAGGAGTGCACAGTGCTGTCCAACAGCTGGAAGACACAAAGGACAAACGCCGTGTTTCTCTGTGACACAAACGCTTTTAGTTGTATTGAATGTTACACTTTGCCAGCTGAAGGCCATGCCTCCGACACTGCTCCATACCTTCTCCATCTCCAGGTGCACAGAGTGAACCAGTCTCTGAGTGCTGCTCAATCCAAACCGCTGTTTTAAGTCCTCAAGTTTCTCCGTCAGGTTCTCCACCTGCCTGTAGCACGGACCAAGACTGATGGAGCGCAGCGGGGACAAGGCCTACAGAACACGTGCAAAACCACAATCATGAGCTCAAATACAAATTTAAATACGAATAAAATGCACATGTGCACATGCACACACCTTCTTCGTCTTCTCCGTTCTTCCATTTGTGTGTGTGAAGTCCATCTGTGTGTGCAGTGTGCGTTGCATCCCCTGAATCCCAGCGCTTATGTTTTCTGTAAGCGCTTCAAGGATGGAGGATATGTAGGGTGCTACAGACTCGCTGCAGACTCTCTCTGCTTCTTCAAGTACACACGCTGAAACACAAACACACATATTCAGTTAAACTGGGTGTTATTAGACAGGAAACTCTGATTGTAGCACCAGATATTGCGTTAAAAAGCACTGTTTGCTCTTCAAAAACATCAGATGATGTGTTTTCTAACTGAAGGGGTTAACTTTGGTACCTTTGACCTTCTCCTCCAGGAAGCAGTGAGAAGATATTATCTGGTCCAGGTTGGCTCTGATCGATGCCTGATTGGCTGATGCTGTCTGATGACACTCCTCCCTCAGAGCCTCCAGACTTGCAGTGAGTTGTTCCAGCACCAAAATGTAGGTTGCCTGCACTATCTATACATACACAAACACAACACTTCCGCTCAGTAAATATAAGGTAAAAGTATTGTGTTTCTAGTGCTGAAAGCTGCATGGAAAAAAACGTTCTGAGATTAATATCTAAACTCTGACAATTGATGCATCTTTCTGAGAAATCAGAATTATAAGATTACAATCAGAACTTGGAGGAAAGATATGTCTCAATACTTAAAGCGTTAAAGCTGCATTGCACTGAAAGCATGCAGTGCTTTTTGTGGCCCTCTTGCGGCAGCTTAATGTACAGCTCTTATTCAAATCGTTAGGGCCTAAACATTATAAAATGCACTAATAACTGAACCGACGCAAGATCCGGGTAATTTCATCAGAATTTTAAACTCAGAAGTAAAACTTTTTTTTGCTTCTTGCACCACTGAGCAACTTTCATAGGAATGAACGGGGCCCCGCCTCCAACACTTTATCCAGTTCTCTTTACACATCCACGCTCTCAACCTGTGTTGTGTTGGTGCATTAGTTTAACTCACTGCCAGCCACTGTCGTATCCTTTCAGTCTTCTTGCCCTTCACTCTGGACTGAATCTGACTCTGTAACCATGACAACACTTCCTCCATCACCTGGAAGGCCAGCACCTACACACGCAAACACAATTTGATAAGCAAGTTTACGAACAACCGCAGACAAACAGAAAGCTGAAGTGTGTGTGTGTGTGTGTCTCTGTGTGTCTGTTTATGTGTGTGTGTTTGTGTTTGCTGACTTGCTCCTCAGTGCCCTGCAGTATTTCCCAGGATTCATAGCATCCTTTGTCCTGTCGGTAGAGTCGGAGGGCTCGAACATACGCCTGGCTCTCGTAGGATGAATCACACCAGGGGTCTGCAGGAAGGACTTGGTTATGTTAACGAGGAGTTTGGTTCAAATCAAATCATCCTCTTCACTTTTGTGTATCATAGCTTGTTATATGTTCTACCTACAGTAAGTCAACTGCTTTTGTTTTTTTACATCTGCAGTAGTGTTTCTACTGTGTTCATTTGTCTGTCGTGTCGTTTTTATGAATAATATGAATGGCTCGTGCTCTAGCGCTGCAGTGTTGCTGGGTTGATTTGTCATGCTTGACATTTTATGTTGTCATATAAATATATGTGACTGGTTCTTGTGAGTTTGTTCTTGTCATTGTGTGAATTACATTGATTCTGACTTGTCCGTTAATGACGAAGCATCCCGTCATTGCGGGGTTATTTCGGACATTTGATTCTCTGTTTCAATCAGTAGGGAACAGCTAACTGCTGTTGTTTCCTGCTAAGCTAGTTTAGCTTAGCCTCCCTGAAGACACGTGCGGTGCCTCAGCTGTTTTTTGTTATTGTTCCGGGTTCAAAAGGTCACACAGTCCGTTGTCTCCCACCTGAGTGCAGTCCACCGAAAACATAATATTTCCCACAATTTAAGCTTCTGCATTTTCCAAATGCACTAGTATTATTCAAACATATTGTTCGGTTCGTAAGCCTCGTACCGAACGGTTTAATACAAATACAGAAACAAATAACCGTAGCTGTCGCCACAGTAGGACAGCACAGAAGGCCGAGGTATAAAATGCATGGCCTGCCACTGCTACCTAGTCATAAATTAACGAGGCTCTTGATAAAAAGCAAGTATATCTTAGGGTTAGGGCATCTCTTACATGTCATTCTCAGCCTCTCTCTACACTCATTTCCTGTCTTCTCTCTGCTGCTGGCTATCTGATAAAGTGTTGATAGAGTAAATGTGATTATATGAAAGGTAATCTATCTATCTAATATGTTTTTATGTGTTATTTTTTACTAATATTACTCTTTACGCTGTAACTGTGATGACGATCTTACTGTTCAGTCTTTACAGTTATTAGTTCTAGTGTTGCTGTGATCGGTGGCATTAAGTTTCACATCTCTAATTTTCAACATTCTGTTCTGTTTTTTCTATGTATTATCTTATTATTTCTTTTGTGGTCTTGTTCCCCATAAGGCTTTTGGGCATTCTTTTTTCACTAAATCGGTGCAGGATATTTGAGTAACAGAAAGCTCCCCTAATGCTGAGTATACTTCCCTTGTCATTAACACCATCAGTATGAATCAAACTAGTGCTGCTAAAAACTGAAGCACGCAGCATAAAATGATTGCCCAGCTGACATGTGATGAGATGTTGTCAAATGGTTAACGTATACACCAGCAATACTGTTTGAAGTAGAAAACTGAAATTGAGTTGACTGTAAACAACGATCTTCCCACTACTCATTTCTAATTATGCTTGCCTTCATTTGAACTAACCCTAACAGTCAGGGTTACACACACACACACACACACACACACACACACACACCCACACACACGTATTCAGCCAATGTGGGGACACAAATCCCTTTACCATTTATTTTGGGGGACCTAATGGGTCATATTTCCAAAGTATAACACATTTTAAACACATTAATTATTGAATAGGCCTTCAGCTGCTCTGCCTGTGTACTAACAGTAAATAAGCTGCTAACTGTGATATCCAACGTTTTGCACACCTAAAGCTACATTTATCAGTTTTTTTGGCCACTTGGGGGCAGAACTCCCAAGCTGAACGTCACATGTTTGACATGCTATCCCCTTATAAAGTTGCTCATATCTTAGCAAACAATTGCATTTTTAGACATCCAGCAGACATTAAGCAACATTAGCATGTGTTCAGGCATTGTTCATAATGCCAGCCCAAATCTGCGACTGGTCTGGCCACCTTGCTGTGTCAAATATTAAATCTCCTTCTCGCTCTGTTTTCATCTCCACCAACACGAGAGAGGGATGTATGCACGTAAATGCTCACCTATGTTAACCAGCTGGTCGCTAGCCTTGTTAGCAGGCTATTTGGTGCTGGGAAGGTAGTGTAATGGGAAAATAGCAGTCTGCTACCGCTGTTAACTAAGTTGATGAGAACGTTAATACTGAATCAGAACAGGAAGGTTTTGGGTCATTAAAAAACAACAACTGATGGATCCAAAGCCCCGCTCATCCTTAGTTACTGTTGCTAGGTCAGACAAGCTTGAAAAAAAGAAACATGGCACAAGCCAGCTATTGCTAATATTAGCTAACTTAAGATGCGACTGTGTACAACGTAATGTGTCTGGGACGATTATCACACCAGTGTAGTGTGACTTAGATTGTAATGTTACCTTTCAAACAGAAGAAGCATATCTAAGTATTGGAAAGGGGAACGTTGGCCAAGGTTCTTTCAGGTTCCAAGCTTGCTCAGCAGTTATTGGAGCACACAGCGAAAAGGGGTGGGACTTAGGAAGGGTCAATTAGGTGAAAGATGCTAAAAAGCTCTTTAGAGGTGAGGGGAACTGCAGAGATGTTGCCCATAGTTGTTCCACTCATTGTTTATAAAAAAATGTTTTTTTAATAACCATTTTATAACTATAGTACCATTTTTTTGTATTGTAATTCCTGCAAGTGTCTAAAGTAGGTAGTCACTGCTGGCTATCAGCGTGTTGTTTCCTGTTACTGCTGAGAATATCTCAGTTGCTGTGTAGATATGACATGCCGTGTTTTCGCAACTTTATGATGCAAAGTAAAGGGGTTGTTTTTGCTTTGTATCCTAGCTAACCACACAGGAAGTCAACAGCATTAACATTTGTATCTGTCACCAGGGCAACTGCCACCACATGAGTGACACATTCTAAAACAGGCAACCAGCAAGGGCCCTCTGCTACAGCAGGTTTAGATATTATAAAAACTCATCTGACTTCACACGCGGGTTAAAGTGTTGAGGCCTATTTGATTGATTAGAAGCCTTGTACCAAAACATTCCGAATGTAAACAGGAGCCATGACTTTTACCTAGTTTGGCATAAAATATGACATATCTGATATATTTAATCAATACATATGAAAAAATATAAGTGTTTTTTTCCAGATTTTTCTTACATTATACCGTGTGTGTAGTGCCATATGTATCCAGCACTACACCCCCCACAATTTCGCAACTTGCAAAAGATGTCTGCCATTATGAAATCACTTCCTTGTCTCTTTTAGTTTAAATATGCTACATATATCAAAAATAGATAAAGAACTAAGTATAAAAGTGGGCAGAGAGAAAATGTGCATGTGAGTATGTATTTTACCAAGGTTGCAGTGTCTAATGCAGGTCTTGAGAGCAGACAGGAAGTTATCTCGTTCCTCTTCCTGTTGGAACAGGAAGCAGGTGTGGCCCATATAAGGCAGGTGCAGATACACAGCAAACACATCTGGAGACGATACCACCGAAGAAGAATCCTCCTTCACTCCTAAACACACACACACAACAGTGTTACAGATGTGGGCTTGACTGTGTTTTTTCTCTGAAGCACGAATTAGTAGCATGAACCATGCTCAACAAAATAAAAGCAGCTGAGCTTTATGTTAACCAGTGACAGCAACACCAGATTCTTAATCATGCTTTTAATTACATCATTTTCTAAGAAGTCCTCAAAAAAAGAGAAAATAGGTGAAGACGAGAGTAGAAGCACACCAACAGAGTATTGAGTTTTGGGAACAATTCAGCTTTGGCCTGAAACAGGACTTGGGCCGTTTTGCACTCATTACTCATAGCATTTGGACTCAGTTGGTTTTGGTTTTGGTTATGTTTTAGTGCTGGGCAACGCCCAGCACTAAAAAATAAAAAATTTACTAGAAAATTTAATCGCGATTAATCGCATGGATTTTTTGCGATTAATCGCATTGTTATGGCAAAGTTCAATAATGAATTCAAAAGTAGTGTATTGCACACTTTTATTTTAAAAGTACTGCTATATGAACAAAAGGGCAATAACATTTGGTTCACGAGATGCAGGTAGCATGTTTTATACTTAATGTGAATATAATTCATACTTTGTTGGCATCTTATTCTGAAAACCAGATGTTCGTCTGAAGAAACCGGATGTTGTCTCACGTTAATCTTTCCGCTAACTTTCAAAGTCCTTCGCTCGCTCCCGATCTGTGCCGTTTAAATGCGTTTACCATGAATTTCAGCATATAGATGCACTAAAATGACTGACTATAGGATGTTTGCTGGCTTTTATCCCACTGTTCTTGTCAGCCTCTTGTTGTTATGTATATGTATTGTCTCTTGTCTTTCAATAAAAAATAAAAAATAAAAAAAAAAATAAATAAAAAAAATCATAATAAATTAAAACATGCGTTAACGCGTGATAAAATAATTGTCGGCGTTAATTAATGAATGCGTTAACTTGAAATTAACGCGTTAACTTGCCCAGCACTAGTTATTTTTAAACGTCGTTCTTCTCTCTATGCCAATTGTCTGCACAAGATATCTGTAATATTCAACATTAGAGCCCTACTTTTTTCGACAAATCTTTGAATGTAAACAATTGATAAAAAAATCAATGCAGTGTTTTTGAGAATAAATTCTCAAGTGTTTTGATATTTTCTTACACCCGTAGTAAACAGTAGATATTTGGCATTGATGTTACAAAGTACTCCACCAGCAAATAAATTAAAGGGCTGCGAGTTTTCACATTTTCCCCTGCAGAGCTCTAGGACACATATTCACATAACAATAATATCACCGCGACAGAATTGATCATTATTTACTTCATTTAGATCGGTAGTCTCAAACTCATCTTCACTCTGGGCCACATCAGCATCACGCCCTCAAAGGGCCGGTTGTAAATGTAAGACTGTGTAAATGTATCTACTCCCTAACATATTGGTAAATAACTGTCTCTGCATTTGATTATTGTTTATTCAAGTGTACATATTGTACATGCAGTTATATAAATGTAAAAATATATTTAAGCACATTTGTGTTATTATAACTTAAATCCTTTTAATTTAGGGTTAATAAACCCACATTACTCTATCAAAGTTGAGTTTGAGACCCCTGATTTAGATGGTCTTTAATCCTTGAACAGTGTATGTTTCATTATCATAAATACTTTGCCGTTATTAATGTAAACTGCACACAGCAGGCAGCAACATGTTGAACAAACTGGTCAGCCTGTGATTCCTCGAACCGAAGCGATGAGAGAGGTGAAAGATATAGCGTTGAGGAGTCCAGGAGACACTTAGTATTGCTCTGTTATTGTTTCTTGTGTCCATGTTCAACCCCAGAAATTCAAAAACTACAACAAAAAATAATAAAATAAAGCTATTGTTGAACACTATGTATGTTGTAAAACAGGAATAAGTTAATACCATTGAGTATTCCAGCACAGGTTTGCTCCAGGTGAGCCCTGGACTCCTCCTCCGTGGTGAACACACTGCCCCTTGCTGGCTGGAGGACCAACTTGGCAGCACATCCACGACCAAAAGTCTATAGGTGGAAACACAGACAACAATGTTCAGCACTCGCGTCCATAGCATTTATATTCTGAATATCATATTTTTATGTTTATGTGAAAGTGTCACCTCCATGTTTTCATGTATCTCCACTTTGTAATCTCTTCTCAGGACGGTGTATCTCTCTCTGCATTTCTTTCCCTGCTCATCCCAGCAGGAGAACTTCATGCTCCCTTGGTACAGCACTTCCTCCGGAGCATGCTGAGGCTGCACACACGCACACACACACACACACGCACACACACACACACACAGTAAACCAGTGTTGATTGACAATTGTTGAGCATTGTTTATGGACAGATTGATATGGGGTCAGATCAGTCTCAATAATTGCAAATGCACACAGAAAGACTCACAAATGCAAACAGAAAGATTCACAAATGCGCACAGAACAATTCACAAATATATTCGATTTACAAATGCACACAGAAGGATTTACAAATAAATTTGACTCACAAATGCACGCAGAACGATTCACAAATACATTCCAATGCACACATAAATTAAAAAAAATCACAAATATATTTCTGCATTTGTATTTCTGTGTGGATTTTTTCTATTTGTTTGTGGATTTGTATGCATTTATTTGTGGATCAAACTGCATTTGTTTGCGGATCGCTACACATTTATTTGTGGGTTAAACGTTCTTATTTTCAACCAATCACATGAGCGCAGTTCCCCCCTCCCCTCCCCACGAGGCTGCTGGCGTTAGAGTTGCGCAATTTGCGGAGGCGACAGGGCAAGCTCAAAGGCACTTCCTGTTGCAAACTGTCACTGTTTTGGTGCGGATTCCGCGGTAGTTTAGCCTTTATTTGTCGTTATTTGACATTATGTGACAATACATTAAGGTCCTTGAAGGTATGACTGTTGGTAGTTGTAATTGGTTTAGTAAAAAAAGGCCGAATTGTAATAGTATGGTTAGTCGTTTTTATTAGCAAGCTAATGTAGGCTAACATCAGTAGGTACTTGTTGCCATGGCAACGATACACACTTTCATGCAGACTGAAGGAATGTGAAGGAATATGCATTGTACTGTTTAGAATGATAGCAACCCATATAACCTATTGATTTGGATATATATACATACAGTATATGTATGTATATGTAGGTATGTATCTATATAAATATATTTATATGTATGTATATATTTATACAATTTGTATACAACTTTTTCTCTCTGTTTGTCCTGTCTCTCTCAACAGGACAGTAGTTTGGGGGAGGCAGTAAGAAGAACCTGATCACATGTTTTTTTACTAAACTAATTACAACTACCAACAGTCATACCTTCAAGGACCTTAATATATTCTCACATAATGTCAAATAACGACAAATAAAGACTAAACTACCGCGGAATCCGCACCAAAACAGTGGCAGCTTGCAACAGGAAGTGCCTCTACTAGCTGCAGCTGCCACGATTTGAGCTTGCCCTTTCTCGACTTCTGACCTGTCGCCTCCGCAAATTGCGCAACTCTAACGCTAGCAGCCTCGTGGGGAGGGAAGGGGGGAGCTGCGCTCATGTGATCGGTTGAAAATAAGAACGTTGAAAAAATGCATTTGCGAATCCAGCAACGTCAGAGGAGTCTCATAAAACCCACAAATAAATGTGGGGCGATCCACAAACAAATGCAGTTTGATCCACAAATAAATACATACAAATCCACAAACAAATAGAAAAAATCCACACAGAAATACATACAAATGCAGAAATATATTTGTGATTTTTTTTTTACATTTATATAAATCGTAATTTATTTACGTGTGCATTGGAATGTATTTGTGAATCGTTCTGCGTGCATTTGTGAATCTTTCTGTTTGCATTTGTGAGTCTTTCTGTGTGCATTTGCAATTATTGAGACTGATCTGACCCCATAGATTGACAGGTGCTCTTACCCTTTGTGTGAGCAATAGGCCCCTCCCCTCTTTTTTAGGTTCCACCTCCTGGTGTAAGTGTCCGATGTAGGCTGCTGAATACTGCTGATGGTAAAACACACTGAAGCTCTGGAACGTACTGTTGACAAGTCCTGCATGCACACACAACACATGCACATTTTTTAAAAGTCAAATACTGTATAAATAAAAGTATACTGTATTTACCTCTTTTTGCCTGGCCCTTTAAAAAAATAGTATTATTTCAACCTGAAAACTGAATATTCAGTTTATTCATTTATTGCAAGAAAGCATTGGTGGATAGTAACTATAGGTGGTAGATTTAGCTTTATTGGGGAAATTGAATATATTTTAGCTGCACAAATCAATACATGTATTTTAACAAAGAATTAAATAACATATGTGTAATGTGACATTCCCCTTGTCTACCTTGTTTTCAATAGTACTGATAAACCAACTGTACGCCACTTGCTCAGCGCAAAACGACAGACAGACAAAGTTCAAAGTCATTAGCTGCTGAACAAAGTGGATCATTTAGCTGCTAAAGAGCCAGATATTTTTCTCAGGACTTGGTGGAGACCTATCTGATTTGTAGGATGTAGACTGTGGGTATAAGCCTTTGGCTGCGTATTTTAACGCTATCTATTTTAAAGTCCTGTGCTTAGTGCTGCCCAAGACGATTGTGATTCATTTAAAGATAATACAAACAAGTCAGAACAAAACGGAACACAAAGGAGAGTGAATAACTTTATCTTGAGATGTCTTCCTCCCACTACAAAGGCAGTTAATTACCACATGAATTTATTTAACCCACACCACTACCCGCACATTCTCTCCGCTCAGCCCACTGATGTGTCGCATGCACTGTGGCAACAAGTGTCATCAGATCCTCCAGCAAATATCAGGAAAGTATAAAAAAATAGACATCGCCGAAGCCTAATGATGATTTTAAAGTGCATCCGCTCAGATTGCGCTGTAGCAAGAGGAGGTAATGTTTTAACCATGATGGCACTGCCCGACAAAAACTGGAGCTCAAACACTCCAGAAAAACTTTTTGATTCAATACCACCACGTAGAATGGTTTAATCAAATCAGTTATCTACCGATGCAATAAATACGTTAAGTTAGTGATTCTGGTATAATGGATTAAAACAGGTGACCATCCCACTGCTGCTGCTCTGAGTTCAGTTAGAAGTATAGAGGACATCTGGTGAGAGGAAGATAGCAGTTACATCACACACACACACACACACACACACACACACACACACACCCCGAATGTCAAAAGAACAACTTCTCTCCAAATCTCATCATATGTAATTTGAATGAGATCAGTCATAATCAGTTGTTTATCATTTGTTTACAGTGTATGGCCACTATCACACATTGTTTGGGTCACTCTGTAGGCTGACTTTGATCTTACACTCTGACACACACACACAGATCAGACAACCCATAATAATGTAATGGTTGGTAATGGCAGTAATTACATTGTAGGAGATTAGTGACCGGATGTGACTTTGCTGTGCTGATAACATGTTTAGGAATGCACACATAGAAATGAGACAAGCAACTCTCATTGCACATCACTCTTTGCTTAATTTGTTTTTTAAGTCCAGTCAAAGCAAATTTTGAGTTAAAATTATAATTTTCGTTGAATTTAAATTTTTTTTAAATTCAATGAAAAGAAAGGCTAACTGGTGGTTAATGTGAGCAACATATACAATCCCCACTTTGATTCTGAGAACCTTAGTTGCATGTCACACCCCTGCCCATTTTTTTCCTGTCTATGTCTTAGCCGAAAGCTATAATACACAGACCAACATCAATTGTTATGTTGTGCCCCCCCCATGCCCCCGCCCCCCAAATAAGAAGTGTCCAAAGTTGCAGAATACACTTTATAAATGTGGAACAAAGAGAAGAGATCTCCCAGTTTTACCTTTGATGTTGCTGATTTTAGCCTCATCCAACAAGCCAGAGGAAGATGCTCCCATAATGTATCTCTTTCCCTTCCTCTCAAGTGAAAAGCTTAGTTCAGCGGTCTCAATGTGTGCACACAGTTTACACGGGAAACCTACAACACACGTCAACTGAATGAGCTGCTCTAACATGTCAAGAGGTTTTTGCCCCGCTCATTTCCTCTGAGTCAGTGTGTGGTGAGCTGGGCGGTACTATTAAGACCTGAAGCGAACTCTAACAGCAACTTCAACATCACACACAAGTGTCACAGCCTCTTTTGCCGGTGAACACGGAATATATATACATATATATACATATATATATATATATATACATATATATACATATATATACATATATACATATATATATATATATACAT